TTAGGATTCGGACAGCGCGCGCGGGTAGAAATTTTGAAAAGTCGTGCAGGTGTTTTTCGAGGACCTACGGTGCGATTCGTGTGATTTTATGATGCGCGGTGCTAAAATTCTTAAGAAGCCCAATGGTTTTTGGAGATTTCGGCGTGCGCGCGCGAAGAAAAAACGAATGTGTCCCGCATGGTATTATTTGACAGGGATGATGGCCCTGGCAGGTGCGCAACCGTTGTCGCAGAAGTTCGAAAAAGTTGCTCGCAAAAGCCCGTTTGACAGAAATGTTTAAAAAGTGTTGGTTTCCTACGAATCCGCAAGAGCGCGCGGGATGAGATTTTGACATTTTTTTGTTGAAAAACCATTGGTTTTTTGATGTTTTTATGTTAAAATCGCTCCGAACACTAAGCTTTTGGAAGGATTTCGTCTTGCGCGCGCGAATGTCCACTTTACCTTATTTTTTGCAAGGGATTCTTGAAATTTGATTATATTAGAACAAGAAATGTCATTTTATAGTGTTTTTTGCAAGGGAAAGCGGGGGGGAACAAAACAACCGGATCTTGATCACATCGAATTACCTGAGGCTTCCTCACGAAAATGATGAAAATGTAGCTGCGGCCTAGGCGGCGCAGGGGGGCCGTGCACCAGGGGTCCCAACAATAATTATTCTTTAGAATTAATAATGTTCAACAACAACAACAAGGATTTCCTCCTTTTTTACTCTGGGCTGGTGTTCTTGCTCACCGCCGAAAGCCGCCGTCCTAACAAAACCAAGGCTCCCGCTCGAGACGTCCTCCCGTTTTAGCTTGGACTGGCGCGCTAGTCTTTCTCTCATCGGCGCCGCCTCCAACAACAATAACGCTCCCGCTCGAGGCTTCCTCCCTTTTTTACTCAAGGCGGTGCTCCTCCTCGCCGCCGAAAACTGCCGCCCCGACAAAACCAGCGCTCCCGCCCGAGACTTCCTTCCGCTTTACGCTGGACTGGCGCCCTACTCTCTTTTGAATTTGCGCCGCTCCCAACAAGTCTCGAGATTTCCTCCCTTTTTACTTGGGACGGTGCTGTTCCTCGCCGCCGACAGCCCCCCGTCCCGACAAAACCACGGTTCCCGCTCGATGCTTCCTCCTTTCTTACTCAAGGAGGTATTCCTCCTCGCCGCCAAAAGCCGCCGTCCCAACAAAACCAGCGCTCCCGCTCGAGACTTTGTTTTGCTTTACGCTGGACTAGCGCCCTACTCTCTTCAGCATAGGCGCCGCTCCCAGCAACAACAGCAGCCCTGCTCGAGACTTCCTCCCTTTCTATTCAGGGCCAGGTCCTTGCCCCACTGCCGACAGCCCCCATCCCCACCAAGGCAATCCTGTCGTTCGATGCTTCCTTGTGCTTTACCCTTCGTTGGGGTTCCACTGGCGGTCTCGCATCGGCGCAGCAAGGCGCGGGCATGTGTTTTCGAGGCGGGATCTGTTGAAATTCCTCGGAGGAGGTGTTTGCAAGACCTCATTCGGCGGGAGATCTGGGGATGGGAATAACGGACCCCGCTATAGAACAAGAGTCCCCCATGATGTGGCTGGTTATCATGATGGTCGCATGCTTCGTGTGGAAACATCGCGCATGCGGGTAAAATCATTGTTGTTGTGGTGGTGGTTGTTGTTGCTGCTGCTGTTGCTGTTGTTGAGGTCTCATTTCGTAACAGTAATTAATGGTGCCCCCCCTCTGGGGCACATGGTGCTGTTTCCATTGAAGTGCCCTTCCCGGGGCTCGCATCCTCTTTTCTTATCAAAGAAAGTTTCGAACATCAGGATTATGTTGTTGGCCCCTGGTTTACAACAAAAGCGGCTCCTGCCTGATACTTCCTCACAGTGTATTCCCAAACCGCGCGCTCGCGCGGGACCTCCTCACCATGTATGCAGGAATCGTGCTCTCGTGTGGGACTTCCTCACAATGTACTCAGACGCCGTGCCGTCGACACTCAGGAATCAAGCTCTCGCTGTGGATTTCCTCACAAGGTATTTGGAAATCGCGCTATCACTCGAGACCTCCTCGCGAGTCATGCAGCACGCACGCTTCAGCAACCCGCCTGCTCGACCTGGCCGCCTGGGCCTTTTTCCCGACCCGCCCGGTAGGGTCTATCCGCCCGATCTGCCCGCCTGGTTCTGCAACGTGCTTTCTGCTCCTAGCCTCCCTTCTGCTACTCTCTCCCGTGCTCCATTATCCTCCTTCCCCCTCGTCCCTTCTTTCCATCCGTTCTCTTCCCATGCCACAGGGGCTGCGCGAAAAACACGTTGCAGATAAGGACGAAATACCCCCAAGGGGGCACGATCGAAGACGAAGAGGGCGGACACTGAGGGCTTGGGATATACGTGTTGAATGACACGCGAACAGATGAACAACGAACAATATTAAACTCATTGTTGTTGCTGTTGATGTTGTTGGTGGTGGTGTTGTTGTTATTTGGTGGTGGTGGTGTTGCTGTTGTTGTTGCTGTTGGATGTCTCGTTTTTGCTGTTGTTGGTGTTGTTGTTGTTATTGCTAGTGTTCTTGTGATTGTTGATGACTGTTTGTTGGTGTTTGGCGTCGTCCCACCCGCGACCCGCTCCGCGACCCGCCCCGCGACCCTCCAGCGACACACCCCGCGACCCACCCGAGACGCACCCGCGACACACCCCGCGACCCACCCCACGGCCCACCCGCCACCCACCCGCGACGCATCCAGCGACCCACCCCGCGACCCATCCGCGACCCACCCAACGCCCACCCGCGACCCATCCGCGACCCACCCGGCGACCCACCCCGCAACTCACCCGCGCGACCCGCGCCGCGATCCACCTGCGACCCACCCGCGACCCACCCGCGACCCGCGACCCACCCGCGACCCACCCGCGACCCGCGACTCACCCCGCGACCCACCCGCGACCCACCCGCGAACCACCCGCGACCCACCCCGCGACCCGCGACCCACCACTCTACCCACCCCGCGATCCGCCCCGCGACCCACCCTCGACCCACCCGCGTCCTGCGACCCACCCGCGACACATCCACGACCCACCCGCGACCCGCGATCCACCCCGCCACCCACCCCGCCACCCACACCACAGTCATCGCACACCATGCCACGACAATCGGCGCCTTCGGCGGGCTCTTGTGCGTACGCTTGGAAGGTAGAGCGCCATCGCGGGCACTTCCATACCAAAATCGGCGCCTGCGGTGTATTCGTTTTGAGGGAGAGCGCCATTGCGCGCACTTCCCACGTCCTACCCGCAATCGACCTCGCGCTGATTCTGAGGTTGCGCTAATTTGCGCCGTCGGCGGACTGGCATGCATTGGTTTGGGGGAGCGCCCGCGCGCGCGCACTTCACCTATCGACCTGCCTCTGGCAATTCCGCTGCCGTGCACAGGCCAGGGGCTTATGGGAGGGTGCCTCAAGGCGCCCGCAGCTGAGAAGAAGAGGCCTCCGCAGGAGGGTTCCTTCGAGCCCTCCCAGATATCCCACAAGCACTTTACCACGCCACTGCCGTACCGGCGGAGGATTCTGCATGAGGGGAAATCTCAATGTCTTCATTTGCGTTTTCAAATTCCGCGCATTCCCACAAACCCATCCAGCAACGTTGCCCAAGCGAGTTGCCTTGGTCAGAGAAACGGGGAACCACATTGTGGAATCCAAGAGATGGTGGCTGTTATCCTCCAAAAGGGAAGGGGGCGAGGGGCACGAGGTGTGAGAAGGAGGGGGAGGAGGATGAGCAGGACGAGGACACCGGGGAGGAGCTAGGAGGCGGAGGAGGAGGAGGAGGAAAGGAGGGTGCGCAAGAAGAGGACGAGGAGGAGGAGGAGGCGCAGGCCAAAGAAGAGGTGCGAGGATGAGGGTGAGGATGAGGAGGGGGAGAATGAGGAGGAAGTGGAGGAGGAGGACGACGAGGACAACGAGGAAGGGCGCTTCTCATGAATGAGAGGAGGACGCCAAGGTGGGCAAATTGGAGCAGTTGGAGGAGGAGGGGGACGTAAAGCAGGAGAGGGAAGGATCGGGAGAGGGAGGAAGAGCAGGAGGAGGACGAGGAGGAATAGGACGACTATGGGGGGAGGATGGTGGAGGACGAGGAGGAGGATACGGAGGAGGAGCAGGAGCAGGAGCAGGAGGAGGTGCAAGTGAAGGAGGGGGAGGAGGACGAGGACGAGGGGGAGTAGGAGGAGGATGAGGAGGAGGATGACAAGGAGGAGGGCGAGGAGGAGGAGGAGGAGGAAGAGGAGGATGTGGAGCATGGGAGGCAAGGGGGGGGGCGGGGGGTAAGCCAGGGGGGACAGGACCAGGCGGACGACGAAGAGGGAGGAAGAGAAGGATTTTGACGAGCCGAGCCACGAGAAAACCGACGGAACGCCATCAACAAGGAAGTGGGGACCACGAGGTCCGCAGGCTCGACGCCCGCGTCGCCCGCGCCCGCCCCCTCACTCTTATCCGCACTTGCGGGGTGCTACGTGTGTACATGTTTGTGTATACAAAAAGCTATACAAACACGCACACCCCTCTCTCTCATCCTACTTCCCGAATCGCGTTTCGCTCGAAAGTTCCAATAGCATAAACACGAAATAGTCCCACAATGGGGGACGGGGAGTCCTAGACCGCCTGGTCCGGCAACCGTTTCGCCTGAGACTTCCTTAAACTTTGCTGAGGGATCGTGCTCTCGCCTCAATGCCGGCTATGGTCCAGACGGAAACGATGCCTGGTACACAAACACACTAAGGTGCACATGTCCGTGTTCTCGCCCCTGTCCCGCCTGTCAGTTTCCCAGAAATCTGCCCCAATTAATGCACACTTTCACTAGCCGACCTCCTACTCCTCAACCAGCCTCTTCATCTTTGCTGCTGTTAGGGCGCTTTGCTTGGGTCATTGTTTCCCCACCTGATCCAATTCTTTCTTTCCCAATTTCACGCTCCAAGCCTGGCCTGATCATTCCCACCCCACCTCACCGACCTCTGTATCTACACGTCGACACGTGTCGTAGGATGCATTTCTCTCCCCCGGGTGCCCTCGTCGTTCCACCAGAAGCTCCTTAGCGCGTGTCATGCCAACGGCCGCCAGCAGTGGAACGAATTGGATCGAGGTAGACTCATCGGAAGGGTAGTGGCAACGGGATGGGGAGCTAGTGACCGATCTGCTGGACCTGATGAAAACAGGAAGTATTGCCTCTAAGCGGTGCTCCGAGATCTTGCTGCAACGCTCCACCCCTGAAGATCGAGCGTGGGAACGGGGGTGCCTCACGCCAGCTGCAGCATGTGAAGGGAAATAGCCGAGGGCGCAATGCCACAAGAGGCAAGATGCGAGAGAACTCTCAAGTTAAGATGACGGGGACGGCAACAGGCACCGAGGGCGGACGCGCGCGATGAGGTGAAATGGAAAGGGAAGATAATCATCACGATCCATGTGCAAACAAGCGCTGCGAGTAATTCTGATACGTTCTCGCAAAAAGTGCTCGGCTCAGAAAGAAATTTCAAATTTGCCGAGCGCTCCCCCAGTGCTCGAGTGTATATAGGATCCTCCACTTTGCCGCGAAGCATTGAGTCTTACACGTTTGGCCAATGTGGACCCCAGACAGTGGGGTATTGCACCCTGGATGTGTAAGCTATGTGGTGCGGTCTATGTGGTACAAGATATGTGATACAGTCTATGTGGTGCAAACTCTGTGGTGCAAGTTGGGGGCGGCTGGGGGGTCTGAACTGGTTGGGACCCTAGACAATCTGTCAGGAGGGGGGGCCAAATCCGCTCAAGCTCGGTCCCAGGACCCATCTCAGGTCCATCTAGTGCAATGTTGCACCATTTGGGATCCGCGTTTAAGACTGTCCCGGGCCTCGACAAAGCTGAAAAAAGGCAGGCACAAAAATACCCCGAACCCAGAGCCTCGAACCTGCCCGCCCTTCATGCTCGCCGGGCCGCGCGCTGGGCCACCTCAGACCCCGAACTGGCCCCCATATGCTGCAGTCTCCGTGAGGCAGCAGCTACGTGGCGGATTTCGGAAACCCTGAACCCACAAACATTTTCATTTATTGGGGACACATTTTTTTTTTCTGCCGCCGCCTTCCACCGCCCTTTCGCGCCAGTTTCCGCCAGCAGAGGCGGTCTCGTTTTACTTCCGCTGACCTTCCGCCGCGGAAGAGATGACAATTCCTTCTATCCTCGAAGGCAAGGCCCTTAATGTAAGACGGTCTCAGCCAGAAGTTCAAAGAATTCTAGCGCAAACCAAAATAGGTTCTCAGAACAACTTCTAGTGGGCCTATAGGCAGGCCTAGACGCCTCGCCACTGCTTGATGGAGGAGGCTCGGGGCGGGAGGAGGGCGGGGGTTGGAGGCGACCACGAGGTCAAAGCTGGTTTGGCCCCGAGAGAATCAACCGGGAGGATCAAAACCAATCTGCAAAAAATCTATCCGGGGGTCCACCTGGTGCAGTTTTTCACCCCGAATCCGTTTTTGACGTCCCCGGTGCCCGAAAACAGCCCCCCAAGACCGAAAAAGGCAAAAGCATGACCGACCCCACTTCATGCTTGCCGGCTGGGCCACCTCAGACCCCCAGCCGGCTCCAAGGCGGGGGGTGAACAGAGCCGCGCTTCCCGATCGGCAGACTAGGGGGTGCACGCCCCCTGCGCGTAGAAAGGCGCCATCTGCTCGGCGTACCAGTCTCGCGCCGCCTGGGCGAGTGCCGTCTTGCGCTCCTGCTGCTGCTCCTCCTCCTTTTCCGCAGCTACAGGCGGACTTGATTGGACAGGGCACGCGAGAGGACACAAGACCCTTCCGGGGGCCACAGTGCCACAGGAATGCAAGAAAGCATGGGTCACGAGGCACAGGACAAGGGTACCCTTGAGCTGGCAGGGTCGACCTACTAATCCAGGCCGACTGTATCTCCTCCCCTCTCTCTTCCTCGCCTCCTCTCGGCCTTCCTGACTCTCCCCAGCGGTTCCAGAGCTAGCAGGCTCCAGTGGGGGACAGAGGTCCCAGCCAAGAGCCGGGAGCACCGATTCTTCCATGGCTACGGGCAGTTGAACCCGTTTCTTGGCGAAGCGCACGCCAATCACCAAACATGCGCGCGTCGTTGTTTAGAAGAACACCAAACATACACATGCATAAATTCATGGAAGCTGTAAACAGTCCGCGCGGAAGTCTTGGATCCATGCGGGACCCCACTACCTGGCGCGCGGAGCGCGCCAGGGGCGGCGCCGGAGGCGCCGTCAGGGGGGGCCCAGCGCCGATCCAAGAGACCCGCGCAGACCTCAGAGAAACTATGTTTATGCGTTTATTCTCCGTCGAGTCGTGAATAACATCGCGACGCAACTCGGCCACCTAACTTCCCACACCGCACCTCGCGATGCGCGACGCGCAATTAGCTTCGCGCCCTCGCGCTCTCGCGCCGCCACCTTGGAGAGAAGGGCAGCCGGCCCAGCGCCGATCCAAGAAATCCGCGCGGAGCGCCAACAATTTCTGCTCATGGCGATTTCTCTTCTTCGATTTGGCCCTCCTCGGCCGAGGCCTCTCGACGCGGGAACCTGCCGCCCTCCGCCCGCGCTCCGGCGTCGACGCGGACCCCCGAGGTGCACAAGCCCCGGCCCCTGGCCGCCGGGCCGCCCCCCTCGGAGCGGGGCCCCGGCTCTGCGCGCAGGAGCGGCCCTTTTGGCGGCGCGCACAGGTGGGCGGGGGGAGGGGGGCAGGCTTCTTTCGGGGAGACGTAAGACCCGGGTACGGGGGACTCGGAAATCCCCGACGAGGTCGTCAAAAAAATGACGAGGCCGAGCCTGCATTTTGACGAGGCCTCCCGCTGCAAACATCCCACGAAACTCCTCCTCGTCAAAATCCGAGGCGCGGTCGTCAAAAAACGATGGCGAACCCGAGTCCTGGCAAACCCGGGTCTTACGCTCCCCCGAAAGTGGGCGGGGGGAGGGGGGCAGGCTTCTTAGAGGGAGGCTGCTTCTAGGAAGCCTGCCCCCCTCCCCCTCTAGACTCCCCTCTGCGCGCTCGCGCCGTGGAGAAGAAGACATGACGCGGGGGCTTTCGGCCGCTCTCGGCCGAGGCCTCTCGACACTCGGGGCGGGGCACCGGCTGTGCGCAAGAGCGGCCCTTCGCTGGGGTGACCCTGACCCCCGACGCCGTGATTTTTTTCACAACGTCGACTCCCAGAGGTCGGGACCCCTTCCCCGGGACCGGTTCTGCATCCAGCGCGTCGTTGTTTGACGGCCCCGGGGCCTGGTAAAGACCCCAGGAACCGAAAACAGCGAAGAACCTCCCGTCGTGTTTTTTCACAGCGCGAATGGGTCTGGGGACGTGCTCGCGTCGTGCCAAAATCGCGTCGCAAAGCTTTGGGGCCTTCTTCGGCCTCTGGGACCCCTCGCCAGACCCCGGGACCGTCCAAGACCGGTCCTGGGGAAAGGGTCGGGACTTCATGGGGCCCCGCATGGAAAAAATCCAGACACCCGATGTCTGGGTCCGCTCCCTCTCGCTCTCCCCCTCACCTCCCCCCTCATTCTACCCTGGCGCCTCCTCCTCGTCGTCGTCAAGCTCCACCTCCTCCTCCTCCTCCTCCTCCTCCTCCTCCTCCTCCTCCTCCTCCTCCTCCTCCTCCTCCTCCTCCTCTTCAAACTCAAACTCAAACTCAAACTCAAACTCCTTCTCCATTCATTTTCCTCAGAAAAAAAATAGCTGTTCCCTGTCTTACCCCGAGGCCAGTTTTTAGGGCGGGCCGGGCGTTTCGCCTGGGATTTCCTCACCACTTATGACGCTGAAGCTTAACCATTGGCAACAATTTCACACATGGAGGGCGGGCCGTTTTCAAAATGTGGCTCTCGCCTTAGCGCGGCGCACATTCATTCTAAACATTTGCAAGAGCTTCACAGATGAGGGCGGGTGGTTTTCAAAATGTGGCTCTCACCCCAGCGCGGCGCACGCTCGCTGTAAACATCTTCTAGAGTTTGCCGAATTGAGGGCGGTTCTTTTCAAAATGTGGCTCTCGTCTTAGCGCCGCGCACAGTCGTCTTAAACATTGCAAGAGATTTACGGACTCCCATCATCAACGTATCAGAACTGGTGTTTTGGACGGATTCAAGATTATGCGGGTGTAACAGTTACGTTGGTTCTCTGTGTTGAAGTCCTAGGAATGGCGTTCTGGTACGACTCAAGACCGTCAAGACGCAACAGTCAGGTTGATCCGTGGCGTTGGGATCCCGAGATCAATGTTTTGGCATAGTTCAGGGTCTTCAAACGGGTGTCTTCCAACGAGGCAGTTCCATCAACGGAAATGAACCGTTGTAGGGGCATATGAAGAGGGAGCTTAGAGGTAGGGTTTACTCCAACATCGTTGATGACTCTTGGGTTTACACTGGTCCTCCTCCTCATCCCATTCCTCCTCCTCCTCCTCATCCTCCCCTCTTCTTGTTTGACCTCCTCGTTACTCCCCCTGTTGGCGGCGCGCCGGCAACGGGGTGGGGCGAGGGGATGCGGCCGCCTAAGAATGCAGGGGGCTTCTTGGAGGAAACCCGATGCTCCCAGGAAGCCTTCTTGAAGCCGCTGCTGCTTCACATCCTCATTATGTCTCCTACTTTGGCTCCTCCTCCTCCTCCTCCTCCTCCTCTTCCTCCTTATGATGATTCTGAATTTTCATCACCACCATCATCTCCTGATTCTCGTCATGCTGGAAATCGTTCCTCCTCGCCCCTTCTACTGCATCTCCTCGATCACGACTGGCAAGAACAACAACTGTCCCAGCCCCCTGGGCCATTCTGTCCCAAATGTGCCATTCGGACGCTCACCTTGACCAGAGCCCCGAAGCAACCCGTCCTACAGATCCATACTGACAGCTCACCGAAGACAGGCATCGCCCTGAGAGCAATTTGGGTGAGAGAGAACATTCCTGATATGCTGGCACAAAGTAAATCGGATCACCGATGCTACAACTCCCCCCCTCATTGCTGCAATGCGGCTCTGTCGATGCTTTGAAACCCTCGCGAAGCTCTAGCCCGTCCGCGTCGAACTTCACTCTGTTCGGGGAAGCCTCGGAGATGTACATATAGAGCTCTTGTCTGGGATCCCGTCTGATCTAGATTCCCTCCCCCATAACTCACTGCCAACATCATGAGAATACCTTCCGTTCCCTCGGACGCCTGCTGGGAGAAATCGATGTTGCGTCCCTTGGCGTATGCGTTGTCCTTCCGAGAGGCGGCGGTGAGTGAGGAAGAGAAGGAGAATACGACATCAGGCACGTATGATAAAAAAGTGGACCGCGACTGAACGTGTGTTCTCGCATTTGCAATCGGCTTTCGTAGCAGTCTCTCTTTGTTGGCAGTCGAGTGCGGCCTCGGCCACTCTGAGCACTCAGAAGTGTCGTGCGCGCCTGTGTATGCATCATATTATTGACCTCCTGCTCTCCCTCATTCCTCCACCTCCAACTCCTCCGCTCACCTACCCGTGTGCGATCAACCCACACGGGTAATAGAGCAAACACACAATGTCGTAGCCCTTATCTTGGGCTTCAGGGAGCCCCAAGTGCAAGACTGCCCAGCAGGACCCCACAACTCGCCGACGACAGCTCAACCCGGCAGGTGCCTACATGTGTGCTGAGGATGCGCAGACGGTGCCCACGAAATGCAGTCCGGGCAACTACCGCGATGGACGCGAATAGCACGACTGAGTTTGGCCTGCCGGAGGCTGGCGGCCCACATCAGACCCGCTGGAGACTTTTTGTTCCACGTCTCCGAAGGCTGTGGTTTGTAAAAGGTCTGGTTTGCAACTGGCACCCTGGGTGGCGGGCGAGGATCTCGACAGAGTTCTCCGCCGCGCCCCGAGGAGGCCCGACGAAAGCCCCAACGACGCAGATCTCAAACCACACCCCGACGTAACCACACCCTTTGTAGCCGCCGATTTTTCCACGGCGACCAGCTCTGCGCAGCCTCTGGGTGACTGCACTGGGTCCTGTAAGCGTGGCCCAGCGGCGACATGCTCCCCAAACGAGTGGCGAGTGCGGCGTCTGCACCGTTGTTCAAGATTGCGCGCGATTGCATCGAACATCGGGCACGCTGAAGAGCTGCAACGATACGCATCCACGTGGCGATGTGCTTGGTGCCCCAGCCAGCCGAGCCCCACGGCGCTGCGCCACGCCTGCTGCTGTGCTGGGACCCCTACAGCCAGCGGGCAGAGAGCAAATCCGGGATGGAAACCCTGTCCTGCGGAAATTCCGCAGGACTGGCTTTCCATCCCAGACCTGCACTCCGCGGGCCCACAGGGGCCAAGAAAATGGACTCCAGACGTCGATCGTGCCAAAACACCTCAGCCTTGACCTCCATGCGCAAGCTGGAAAGATGGATCGGACCTCTACCCTCGAGCCCCTGCGATCCTCGATCATCGACCCCCTGCGCGACCTCAATCTAATCGAAACTGGGCTTGAGCCTCGAGCCTCAATTCTGTCCGACAGTTCCTCCACGCCCCGGCATCCGATGTCTTGATATTCTTTCATACACCCTGCGAAATGCTTTAGAAATCATGGGTTAAGAAATTCATAGTCTCAGAATCTGAATGAAAACCCAGAATGTCTATTCAAATCTTGGGATTTACATTGAAACGTTAAGAATAATCGACAGTATGGCCGAAAACTTAGGTTTTCTTAAGTATCGCATAAGGTGTACGGCCCCTGCGGAAATCCCGACCCTTTCCCCAAGGCTGGCTTTACACCCCGAGCAGTTGCTGATGATCCTGGGGCCCAGCGAGGGACCCCGAGGCAGAAAACGGCCAAACATCTCCCCTCCTCCTCCCCCTCCTCCTTCTCCTCCTCCTCCTCCTCCTCCTCCTCCTCCTCCTCCTCCTCCCCCTCCTCCTCCTCCTCCTCCCCCTCTCCCTCCCCATCCCCCTCCCCCTCCCCCCTTCCTCCTTCTCCTCCTCTTCCTCCTCCTCCTCCTCCTCCTCCTCCTCCTCCTTCGTGATTTCGTCCATGACGCGAGCAGGTGGCAACTTCCGAACCCTACTCCCACCAATCATCGAATCTCCTGAATCGACGGGAAGCGGAAGCAGGATTCCGATTTCGCCACGTATCCGACGAACTCCGAACCCTACCGCCGCCGCCCATCGAGTTGCCTGAATCCTGGACCGGCGAAGGTAAGGTTCGGATGTCGCCGTCGATTGTGCCGTTCCCAAGCCTCCGACGTCATGATTTGTTCATAACATCAACCCCCAAACATCTCTGGGGTCTGGTGCGGTGCTAAAGATATAGCTCCGCTAAATCCGCCCCCGCAAATTAGATGTTTTCGCTTCGGTGTTAATGGTAACACAGGGGGGTCGCAATTGCTTCATCAGGCAAAGCTTGTCGCAACGACTTGTGGTGCGGCCGCGTTCGACAAACAACATCTTCTCTCCTTCCCCCACTCCATCTCCAGCCCTCCCCTCTGTCCGACCCCAGCTCTCTCTGCTCCTCCTTCTTTTTGCACACTCTCCCTTCCCCTGCCCCTCTCTGCCCCCTTCACCCATTCCCCCCCTCTTCGCGTACTTCCTCCCCCCCCCCACCCCGTTCCGATCGGCCCGACCAGGCGGCCTCATCTGGGACGGACGAGGCGGCCCCAGTGGGCCCTGGCTGGGGATGCGTAACGTTCTCGTGGGAGGGGCAGGGGCCTCGGGCCCCCCGTGGGCCTTCTCGGGGCGGCGTGTTCCTTGGGTTTGCACGGGGGGGGGGGGCGGTGTCTCGGGGCCCTCTGGGGCCCCCTCGGGCCCCCTTTGGCTTCTTCGTGGCGCTCCTGGGAGGAGGAGGAGGAGGAGGAGGAGGAGGAGGAGGAGGAGGAGGAGGAGGAGGAGGAGGAGGAGGAGGAGGTTTCAAGTCTCGTGGCCCCGCGGGGGGGGGGCCACCGATGACCCCAGGTCCGCGCGCGCGTCGCGCTCCGCGCACGCGTCGTGGCCAGCCGACGGCCCCCGCGGCCGTGGCCAGGCCCCGCGCGCGCGCGCGCCTCCCCGCCCAATCGGCACGCCACACCGCGTGCCAAGTGGCACGTGCACAGGGGGGCACATTGGCAGGGTTCGCCTGTCCCCCCCCCCCGCTCCACATGTTTCCGCGCACCCCTCGCACGCTGCGCGGCCCCGCACGCCCCCCTCGCAGTTCATGCCTCTCGCGGTGCACTATACGTATATTCATGGGGAGAGGGCCACATCCTGCGTTTGTCACATCTGGGCGTGGTTGGGCCTCTCGCCAGGCTAATGTATCCGTGGGGCAGGGCGTAGAGTGTGAGCTGCTGTCTTTGCTGCTGCCCGTCACGCCCCTGTACCCCAGGTGATACTGCTCTGGCCCGAGCTGTTTGCAAAAACGGTCGGGGCCCGCCTCACGATGACGAAACGTACCAGTTGCAGATGGTGCCAGGACAAGGCTCCGCAGCAGAAGTGTGGGTTCGTGCATTCGCGTGGTCAAGAGATGCAGTCCGCTTGGGCCTCCGCGCACTGCCGTCGGGGTGTGCGAGGCCCTGTCGAAGAAGCTGAAGTCGGAGTTCTGGCGCGGCATGAGCTTCGCCAGGAGCGCGGAGGTGGTCACCAAGGGCGCGAAGTCAGGCTGCATAAATAATCATAAGAAGAGGGTCTTCGACGCGCGCGTGCACAAGCCGCCCAGTGACAGCACGCTGGTCCAAGGCACGGTGGTCGCATTCGGGTCAACGATGTCGATGAGCGGGACTTCCAATACAACGAGTACCTGCAGCAGACCTTGACCTCGTTCATCAATCATTTCAGCGGCTTTGCCGATGGCGGAATCATCCCCCCTCAAACGCAATCGCTAAGTTCTTCAGGAGGGAGGACCGTGGCTCCGTCATCCCGCCCAACGTCCTGGACTGCAGCGCCTACTTCAGCCGGAACTTGCCCAACGTGCTGCCCTTGGGGGAGAATGACCACAGGGACCACTACTTCCATCCACGCCCGTCGCGAAGTTGGTCAGTGGCCCCTGTTGCACGTTACTCCTGCGACGCGTGCCGCACGGAGGGGTGCTGCAAGTGCAAGCGGTGCGCGGTGCGCATAAGTTGTACTCAACGGTGCCAGCACGGAGCATGGCATTCGGTTTCCGCAGACGCTCGATCATTTGAATTACCCAGCGGAGCGCTGCACTGCAGTGCTGCGCAAACGCAGATAGCTAGGACTCCGACTCCGATTGGGCCGACTCCAGATTGTCGACGTGATCTGCTTTTCTTTTCAGATTTGAATGGGCTGACTTGGAGGAGTCAGCGTGTCGCGCGACGCGTGGTGGGCCAGAACCAGGGGCGCGGCACGCTAAACAACCGTTCCCGACCGTACTCCTGCTCCTTTCGCTTCGCTCCCCATTTGGGGAACAAGCAAAACAAACGACACCGCTGCTCCCCTGACCTCTCCCAGGGCGCGTCCTGACCAAGATCTCGATGCGAGGGGAAATGATGTTTTCTATCTTCGACCTCTTTCCTACTCCGGCCCTCGACGAACAAAGCACACATGAGCAAACATTGTCAGAGATCTGCGCGGATGTTTTGGGTCGGTGCTGTGCCGTCCTCCCCTGGTGCGGGGATTACGGGGGATTGCGCCATGTGCGGCGCCACCCCAACGCCGACACAAGACAGCCGCGCTGATTTCGGAAACGTCATGCTTACACCGCTTGTTGCTCTTCGTTGCTGCTGTTTCATTCACACCCCTCCCTCCTCCAGCGCAGTCAGCCTTCTCCTAATCGTCATAACACCCAAAAGAGGAGGAGGAGGAGGAGGAGGAGGAGGAGGAGGAGGAGGAGGAGGACGAGAAAGAGCAGGAGGATGAGGAGAAGGAGGAGGAGGAGGCAGAGGATCGAAACAACCAGGATGAGGAGACGGGGAAGGCGAGGAGGGGTAGTAGGAGGGGGTGGAGGGGGAGGAAGAGGACCGATCCCCAAACGATCCCCTGTGACTGCACTGGAGCCTCCCTTATTAAAGCCCCTCTCGTCCACTTCTCTCCTCACTTGAGGGGGGACCAGAAGGGTGACTGACTCATGGTGGGGGGAGCATCGACCTGGAATCGGCGATGCATCGCCGATGTGCCCCCGATAGCGCATCTGCAAACTCCTGCGCGGGATGGGCGATCGGGCCCCTGTCGGCGATAAATGGGCGGTGTGGGGCCGATGCGTTCCCCCCTGCGCCGATCTCCCCCTAACGCCGAGAGCATCTTCTCATTCGCGGAGATGACGGGGGGCATAACCTAACACCCCCCACCTCCTCCCGCCGTGTGGTTATGACACCAAGCGCCTGTGCGCACCACAGCATGCACCACAGCGCGCACCACAAGATGCACCGCCGCAGCCGCGCGCACCACAGCGCCGCTGCACACCGCAGTGCCTGCGTGCACCACCAGTACTTGCGTGCACCAAGGCACCTGCGTGCACCACGTCAGCCACGTTCACCGGAGCGCCTGCGTACACCACAATTCCTGCGTGCACTACAGCGCTTGTGTACACCACAACACCTGCGTTGATTACACTTCAGTTGTGGAGTTCTGCTCTGGGAAGGGTCTGGGCACCTTTCGGCCCGGAGGAGGAGGCGGGCAACAATGATGCATGTAAGCACGCACGCTACTGGTGAACAACTGTGAGAACCCAACAATATTTCTGTCGGCGCCTCAATAGATTGCGAGCTCCGCGGCGCGCATGTGAGCAACTCAATGCACTTGCGACGACCGCATGGCGGAAGGACGCAAAACTCTTGAGTGAACGCCCTGTTGGCCGCGATGCGAAGCTTGAACCTTGAACCTCGATCCTCCGACCAATACCCAGTCAAAAGAATCATCTTGACTTTGGCCCTTGGTCAACCCTGGCTAGTTTTGCGAGCTGTGCGAGGCTGCGGCGACGAGGACACTCAGAACCGCCCGAAAGCCACAGGAAGGACGAGGACGACACCGACAACGACGGGAAAGAGAGGAGGAATGGCCCGCGATTCTTCAGCTGAAATCGAAAGCGCAAGACGAACACGACGATGATTATGATGATTACGCCCACCCCGTCCCTCCCACTCTCCCTCCTCCTCCTCCTTGTCCTCCTCCCCCTGCTGATGCTACTGCTACTGCTACTGCTGTTGCCATTACTTCAGCCATCAGTACCACTACCACAACTGCTGCTATCCTGCCAAACCCTTAGAACTCCGCGCGCGTGCGAAACAAAAAATGCAGGACCCTGAAAGTGCAACAATAGCCTGCGAGCGCAGAACCATGTCCGCGAGAACGGGCAATGAGCCTGTGAACGCCATGCTAGCCCGTGAACACCACAGCAGCTTGCGAGCACCAAGTCTGCGAACACCAGAATAGCAAATAGCCTGCGACCGCCACAATGCCATGCGAGGAAATGCAGTCGCTGCGATCGCACCTTGCTACGAGACCGTGCTGCACGCGCGCACTGCGGCAGTGCCAGGGGTGCACTACGGGGGAGGAGAGGCGTCGCGGTCTAGGGGGAGGGAGAGGGGGGGGGGGCATAATGCGCGTCATGGCCCAGAGGGCCCCTGGTTCTCTCCTCTCTGCCCATCCCCCCCCCCCACTGAAGGGGCCCAGAGACACACGAATGAATACACACAAATCCCAGGATTCCCCATCTTTGTCCATGTGTTATGTGTGTTCTGGGTGTCCGTCTTCCCCCCCACTTCCTATAGTTTCCCTTTTTTTCCTGGGGGTCGACGATTACTTGTCTGGGCGTTTGCCCTCGCCTGAGGCTTGCGGCCCTGGCTTCTCCGCTCTCCGCCCCTCGCGGCGGCAACCCGCGCGGCGGCGGCGTCCCACTCTGGCGGGTACGTGCCGGCCGGTTCGCCGCCGTCCAGGATCCACCCACGGTCCGCGGCCTGCCAGCGGACGTCATTGTCGCCGTCGTTGTCGCCGTCGTCGTCGTCGTCGTCGTCGTCGTCGTCGTCGCCGCCACCGCCATGGCTATCGTCGTGCTCGGCCTTCCTCCTCCTCCTCCTCCTCCTCCTCCTCCTACTCCTCCTCCTCCTCATCATCATCATCATCATCCCACCCTCCCTCCTCAGTCCTCCCTCCTTTTTTTGTCGGAGCACACTCATGGTCATGCCCCTCGTCGCACACACCTCCCTCCTTCCCCCTCCTCCTCCTCCACCACCCTCCTCCTCTCTTCCCTTCCTCCTGTCTCCCCTTCCTCCTCCTCCTCCTCCTCCTCCTCCTCCTCCTCCTCCTCCTCCTCCTCCTCCTCCTCCTCCTCCACTGCCCTCCCCCCTCCCTCCCCCTCCGCCCTCATCCTCCTCCCTGCCACTCCTCCTTAACGGTTACACGAAGGAGGAGCTGGACGATCGACCGCTACGTAGGAGGGTGAGGACCAGGAGGGCGAAGTGGGGGGCGAGTGCCACGAGGACGGAAAGAAAGAGTATTTCGAGTCTTCTTCATCCCTCGTGTCAGATACATATATAAGACCGCCAACACCTCGACGATGTTCCTCCATTCCTCCTTCTCGCTGTCGCTCGTGGAGGGCTACTCTACAAGGGACCGACGCCATCGCTGCTCCGGCCTCCCACCCCATCGCCGGGGGGGGGAGGGCGGAAAGAAAGTCAACACAGTGCAAGGTAGAAAAATAGAGGAACGACAGCACGGCGAGGACGGCGGGATGCAAAGCGACAAATCTCCTGGGCCTCTGGAGGCTCAGCCAGGCCCCCAAGACACCAACACAACTCAATGATCCTCATCCTCAATCCTCCCCCTCCTGGTTGAATTCCGTTTCCTTGTAAATAACTCCTCCCTGTCGCACCCCGAGGCGTGTCGGTGGGGCGGACCAGGCGTTTCGCCTGAGACTTCCTCAAATGTTACGGCCCTTCAGCTGGGAATTAGCAAGAGTTCCATCGATAGAGGGCGGGCCATTTTCAAGTGTGGTTTTCGCCTTAGCGCCGCGCACCCTCGTCTTAAGAATTGCAAGAGCTTCGCGAATCGAGGGCGGGTGGTTTTCAATAGGTGCCTCTCTCCTTAGCGCCCTCGCACATCTCGACTTAACAAGGGCAAGAGTTTCACGAATGGAGGGCGGCTTCTTTTCAAAATGCGCCCTCGTTAGCGCCACACACATTCGTCTTACAACTGTGAAAGAGCATCACGGATGGAGGGCGGTTTATTTCCAACATGTGGCTCCCGCCTGAACGCTGCGCACACTGGATTAAAAGTTCACAGCAGCTTCAAGGATTCTCATGACTAACGTCCCAGAAACGGTGTGTTGACACGATGTCGGACTGTCAGGGCGCAACAATTACTTGGACTCACGGTGCTGCAATCCCCTACATGGTGTTCTGGCACCATGCAAAATGGCCATGACGCAACCGTGACGGTGATTCGTGGCATTGGAATCCGAGGAAAGTCGTTCTGGCACAATTCAAGTTTTCAAATGGTTGTCTTCCAATGGAACGCTTCCCTCGGTCAAAATGAATCCTTGTATGGGGACTATGACGAGGGAACTTGGAGGGCGAGTTTATTGCAATATCGTGAACGGGTCTTGGTTTACACTGGTCCTCCTCCTCCTCCGAGAAGGCCGGAGTCTCCCGCCGAAATTCCTTCGCCGCCTTTCGGCGTCCTTCGGGCCGCTCTCGGGGCCCTCGGGCCGCCGAATAATAACAGAGGGAAGAATGGCTAAGCATAAGTGCGCGGGCAAAAACTCTCGACGTCGGCGCTAGGCGACGGTGGGCGCGTTCCCCCAAAGCACTGACCACCACACCCCCTTAGTGATCCCAATCGACCGAAATTTCGGCTCGCGCCCATCTACTTTTAGGTCGGGCCTGTCCCCCTTACCGGGGGATTTTGTGCGAAAAATTAGTGCTCCAAAAATATTCCCAAAATGCCCACAAATAATCAACAATTCGTCCCCAGATAATTTTTTGACTATTTTTGAATCTTCCCCCTGTAGCGGGACAGGCCCGACTGAAATCCACTTTTCCTGGATCGGCGCTGGGCCCCCCTGGCGGCACCTCCGGCGCTGCAAGGGGAGGGGGTCCACCGTCGACTCCGGAAATTTGTGTTTGTCCAATGGTTTCTTCGTCGGCCCAGCGCCATCGAACAGAAGTCCTGGGCGAAAGACCCGCACTTGAAAAATACCACGGCGTCGGAGGTCTGGGAGCGATGGAGGGCGGGCGCGGCGCGGTGGTGGAACAGGCGTCGGAGCAAAGGCGACGGGCAGGGAAGAAAGGGGGGGGCAGAAGAAGGAACGGCAACACAAGTGGAAACTGTCACCGGTCCGCGCAGATTTCTTGGGTCGGCGCTGACATTCCTCCCCTGGGCCCAGCGCCGGTCCAAGCCCCTGTGGACCTCAAACAATGTTGGTGGTTGACCCTCCCGGAAACATGTGTTTTTGAATTGAAATGCCCCTCCCGGGACTCCCACCTGTTTTTAACCAGGGGGAGTCCTGGATCTCCAACGTAGCTTTCGCTTGGGACTTCCAGGCGATTTGCTGAAGAATTGCGATCTCGCGTGGGACATCCTCGCAATTTTTTCAAACGCCGCGCCGTAGATACTGAGGAACCACGCTCTCGCTTTCGACATTTAAACGATTAACGTGGCAATCGCGTTGTCTCTAGAAACATGTTTTCGATTCATGCAGTACATCCTTCTCCCTACCCTTTTCCCCTTTCCTTCTCCCTCCCGTCCCGCACTCATTTCCTCCTCGCTATACGATTTCCCCTGTCTCCGTCATCTTCTTGTTTTGAGGGCTGCGCCAACTTCACGTGGCAGGTAAGGGAGATCTACTCCTCAGGGAATACGATCGAAGCGAAGAGGGCGGGTATCATGGGCTTGGAACATACATAGTGGTTGACACGCGGGCAGATGTGAACGATCAATCTTACAACGATCGGTGTTGCTGTTGCCGCTAATGGTGCAGATTTTTTTCTCCGACGGGGGCAAGGGACTGCTCAAGGCTCGAGGCCACAAGAATTTGACGGTTTCTGGATGAATGGTTTTGGGCCCCCGGAGGCCTCCGTGCGCGGGGGCCGCGGAGCTCAAGAGGAGTTCAAGGGCGCCCAAGAGACCCCCCGGGGACCCTGGTGAGGCAGGGTGAGGAGTGGGTAAGGAGAGGGAAGAGAGAACCACCACTGCGGACAGCTGTCCGGGCCTGCTCGAGACCTGGTGGAGGAGGCCGTAGCCTCTTCAAACCTGCACGTATGGACTACACGCGATCATGCATATGGACAGCGAGACAACAAAAACAAATCTGCGACGGAGGAGGGGAGGAGGGAAGTCCTGGATGTGGATGTCGGCGTAGTGTCGTTACGTGGGGTGTGCGTATTGCCGTTCGAGTGTCGACCAGGTGGTGGTGTCTTGGGCCGTGCGAATCCAAGTTGAAATCGTCGGGTTGGCCTTTTGTAGTCGGTGTGGGCGTTGGATGCTGGTCGGGGTTGTTTTGTTGGAGGAACTTGACGAAGTCGTAGAGGAGGTGGAGGATGAGTGCGCGGTGTAGAAGGGGCACGCTTGGCACGCTCGAGCCATATCGGACATCCGACCCCTCTCATCCATCCCATCCCGCTGCGCGGATGTTGTTTCTTGCTTGTGCCCGCCAGTAGGTTTCATAAAAGGTTTGGGCCCCCTAAAACTAGCCCCATCGCCGCGTGCGCACGCAGGAAATGGAGCTCTGCACATTTGGAGGAGATTTGGAGGAGGTGGAGGAGAGGAGGTCGGAAGATGTGGCGGGTGAGCAGGAGGATGAGGATGGAGGAGGAGGATGGAGGAGGAGGATGGAGGAAGAGGAGGAGGAGAAAGAAGGAGGAGGACCAGCCGCAACAACAGGCGCAGGGCTAGGAGGAACGGGGGCGCAGGGGGAAGCCGGAGGAGGGGCAAGGGGGGCGTCAAAGACAGTGAACAACTCCGACGAGACGCCAGGCCAGCGCTGGGGAGCGCGCCATTCTGAGCGACGGACGAAAAGCGCCGATCCTGACATGAGGCCAACGCTGCAGCGGGAACGCCATCACCAGACACGATAGGCTTGAAACACACATTAAGCATGCAATGTTTGAACATCTGTATGTACTCATAACCGGAAAGGCCAGGATATCTTCCGAAACGAGTCGGGGGAAAGAGAGACTCCCACCAAGCTTTTAGGGCGTGAGTGGTTTAGCGCGTTTCCTCATCCAACCTTCCTTTTTCCCCTTCGGGGAAGGGTTTACAGCTGCTCCCTATTGGAAACATCCCCTCCTCCTGGCGACCGGCAACCAACCAGGAACAAAAACACCCCGCACACAATCCTTATCAATAAACAATTCACGATACACTTTGGGGCAACATCTTGGGTCATGCTCGCGGATTCCGCGAGCAATTTGCATTGTAGTTTGATCGGGATGGCGGGTTTGTTATGATATTGCCTGCTGCGTGCAAACTCACCACTCCTGTCGATAGCCCATACAAGCGACACTTCGTTGCTCAATCTGGATAATACTCGGCCACCCCGCGATTATTGTCCATTGGCTGTCGACCAGGACGGCGGGGGTGGTGGCATATTGCCTGCTGTGTGCAGGCCGCCAGACACTATGATGGCCTCCCCGCCGCGATTTTGCATTGACTTTCGACCTGGATGCAGGGGCCGACATTTTCCCGATGTGTGCTGTCACGTGCGCGGGCGCACCTGGCACACTCTACGCGCGCCTCGAACGTGGCGTGGCGCACCTGGCGCGGCTGGACCATGCGGCACAAGTGGCAAACGCGGAGCACGTCGCGCATCTGGCGCGCCAGGCGTGACTGGCACGTTTGGGCCCCAGGGGGGCCTGGCGCACTGGGCGCGCGCGGCCCAGCGTCGCCTGCTTGGGTTTCCAATAGCTTCCCATCCATAGACGACACCAGAACATGCGGAGGCGGCCCGGGTGCGATTCAT